TTTTATGAGATGAGATAAATTTCAATGTGTCAAAACAAGACAAATTTTGCAAATCGAATTGTGGGCTGTCTTTCAAAAAACAACCCAAACTACCCAAGAAACAATCCAAACAACTTTCAAGAAACGACCCAATTAAATTTACACAAAAGTTTTATGCAAACCCAAAAACTGTTGGTGAAAAAATACTAGTCAGACGATTGTTTTATGAAAATGCTTGTCATAAAATTACATGATTGAAATAGTGCATACAGAATTTGCATACCAAAAAAATGAAGCAGTTTTCGTTTTTTTTTACATACACCAAAGTCTACAAAAGCATAAAATCAAAGTGATTCCGATCCAAGGTTGAAGACAAACCAGGCAAATAAAATGGATAATAACGGTTTTGTAGTGCGCAACATGAATTAGAAATTAGGTTAAAAATTCATTTACAACCGGTTAAACTTAAATCGAAAAATAGATTGACTAAAAATTGATTATAATCGATCAACATGTAATTTATTTGATTGTAATTTGACTTCAAAAAGAGATTATATCCAATGATTTGTTGCTCAAAACCATTTTTTTTAAATTTTACTGAGACTGGAACTAGAATCATAGTCTAATTATTTACTAAAGCTTCAAACTAGATGCAGGATGGAATATTGGTGTGAATTTTAGGGCAAAGTAGAGGTGTTGTTGAAGTTTTTTTAAACAAGAGTTGTCTGTCCAAAAATTAACAATAAGCGTACCAAGTCACGCAGCGCAGAAAAGTTTTCCGGATATAGAATTTTTTCATACGCCATGACCCGCAAATCACAAAAGCTGAGCAAGAAAAAACTAAATGGGCAAATGTTTTCAATAAAATCAATGAACTGGACACTCCACATATGTTGGAATAGACTAACTTTGTTTGGATCACCTTTCAAGATAATTGATAACATAAGTTATACAATATGCTTTTAATTTAGTGAGTTTAAGTCCGGGATGGCTTTCTCATAATTTCGGATCTGGTACAACGACTGTTCGTCACGCTATCTTTTTTTTTCGGCCGGATAGTTTCGTGCAACTTCTTAGTCTAATTCCGATCCTACTCTTGCTCCTATTTTTCCGAATCTCAATAGATCTAGTATGTAGTAGTAGTAGTAGTAGGGATTTAGTGTTTCCACAAGGGGTCCAGGCCCCTGTCATCCTTCACGTCTCACATCGCGAGTCTAGTTCTACAATTGTTTGTCGCACAATCACATGCAAGCTTCCATGTGCATTTATTTCTTTCGTCATAGAGTGCAAATGTATTCCAGAACACTTTGAGCAGGGCGCCTTTCAGTCCAGACCAATTTCGCAAATCTATCCTAAGTGCATTCGCAAGACGACATGTCTGGTAAAAGAAATTTTGTTCACACCTGTACTTTGATGGACGCTTTAGCTGAAACATAGGATAGCGAGAGAAATCTATGTATTGTGGAACATCAATCATAAAAGTATCGTATCGTTTCAAAATTAATTTTGCCAGCAGTAACAGGTTGTTCAATTGTATGTACATGGGCAGTGGTAAAATTTGTAGTCGTTTAAGTTTATCTTTGTAATTGGTATGTTTACTATGCAAAATCCAATTTACCGCCCTTTTTTGAATTATCTCGTATTGTGTCATGACGTATTTGTTTAGACCTATGCAAGAACTAGCATACATTATTACGGGAATGACCATCGATTTATACAGGTTTAATTTTGCTTTCCAGTGTAGATTTGATGTATTCCTCTTTATCATGAAAAACACTCTGTTTGCCTTTACGCATGCTTTTTCCATATGTTGGCTCCATGTTAGATCATTTGAAACGATTAGTCCAAGGTCTTTCTGACAGTCTACATGAGCTATTTGTTCATTATTGAAATTAAAAGAAAATTGATTTTTCCCAAAATTCAGGTGCGTACATTTATCTACGTTGAAAGGCATATTGTTTTCCAGGGTCCATAGATTCACATTGTCAAGGTCTTTTTGAAATTCATCCCTCCCCAAATTTATGCTAATGAATTTGGCATCGTCTGCGAATAATAATGGTATAACTGTATTGCATTTGTCAGGCAGGTCATTTATGAAAACCAAGAAAAACAAGGGTCCCAAAATACTGCCCTGGGGTACACCGCTCGTTACTTTTTCTGAATTTGATATTTCGCCATTTACTCGTACGACTTGAGACCTTTCTGTTAGGTATGATTTAATTAATTTCAAGTTTTTATCCCTGACTCCTTGTTCGAATAATTTCCGCACTAAAATTCCGTGGTCAACACGGTCAAAAGCCTTACTATAATCTGTAAAAACCGTTTCGATACTGTCGCCATTTTCATGACCGTTATAAAATAGCTGCAAAAATGTTAAAAGCTGAACAATGGTCGATCGGTTTTTCCGAAGTCCGTACTGTGCCTTGTGGAAAATCTTTTCAAAATGTTCATATAATCGCTTGAAAGTTATTCGTTCTAGAATTTTCGAGATTACTGAGAGCAGAGAAACAGGTCTGTAATTTTCAATGTCACTTTTGTCATCTTTTTTATGCAAAGGGCTAATGATGGCTTTTTTCCAACATGCGGGAAAAGTACAGGTTTGAGAAATTTTTCGGAATATCTGATAGATTGAATGAGATAATGTTTCTGCATTTTTGAATAGAAAAGGAGGTAGATCGTCCCGGCCTGTGCTTTTGTTTACATTCAACAGTTTGCATATTTCTTGTTCTGAAAAATCGATATTTTCTAAAATTGGTTGATTTTTGTTACTGCATTCGTTTTCGTTAAAAATTGACGACTCCACATATACTGATGCAAAAAATTTTGAAAACAAAGCTGCTTTTGAGACATCCGTATCTGCATTTTCGTTTTGATAATGCATTATACTAGACAAAACTGAATTTCGGAAAGCCCTAAAGTATTTGAAAAATTTGCCGGTTGATCTTTCAGCTGCCATGGATTCCTCATAACTAACTTTATCGATTTCGATAAGCTGGTCTGTTTTCGATTTTAATAACACTACTTTAGTATGTGACTCATTGTGATTTTTCCGAGCAGTGTTCAAACATTTTATCATATTTTGGAGGTTGATTGACTAATCCAGGGGGGTAAGGATGTACAATGTTTTGTGCGTTTAGGTATCGTACTCGATAAAAGATCCAACAACCATTTGTACCAATGTTCTACTATGACATTTGGATTTGACCAGCAATAAGTATCGAAGGGGTTATCAATAATTAAATCATTCAATAATTTGTAGTCACCGTTGCTAAAACTCAATGTTGACTCCTTAACATATTTTCGCTGGTATAAGCAGGATATTTCAATATGGAATTTCGTCTTTATCGGATAATGGTTTGACATTTTTTGTGAAACTATTTTCATTTTGAAATTTGCAAATATCAGTAACCTGAATATTTTCACTCACAAAAAACAGATCAAGGATTCCTGTTGCAGCTGTATGAAAATCAATTTTTTGAATTAGATCAAATTTCTCGATAAAAGTTAGAAAATTAGCTTCAATCGAATTTTGCGAAGAAATGCTACTCCAATTTATTGTTGGGAAACTGAAATCCCCATAAATAATCAAACCGTCACATTTACTTCTGAGTTTCAAAATTTCGGAAAACATCTTGTGTATATCTTCCGTATTAAGTGAATATTTACTGTTTGCAGAGGGCAGCTAACGGGAGATGACCAAAATTTTTAGATTTACTAAAGTGACATAGCACGCTACGACTGAACCGTTTGTATCATATCCAAAATTTGCATTTTCTGACAAAAACGATCTTTTTACTTATATCATAGTTCCTCCATGTGATGTCTGGCCAATTTTTGCTTTTCGGTCAGATCGAAAGCAATTATATTCATTTAAAAATAGTTCTGTCTCCAATATTTCAGTTGTTAACCAGGTTTCGGATAAGCAAACGATATCAGGTTTATTCAAAAGTATAAAATTTGAAAAGGTTTTTCTACGGTCCAGCTTGAAAATGCTTCTGATATTGTAACAAATTACTTCTATATCCCCTGAAGTTTTCAATAGACATTCTGATGTGGTTTCGGCTCTGTTATTTAAAAACAAAACACCTTTCCGAATTTTGATACTTTTTGGATCACTTCCGTTATTTAATAGTTCTCTCCTTCTTTTCAGCAATTGCTGTTCTTTTTCTTGTTCATCCTTATTTAGGGATTTCGATATAAAAACAGCGTAATTCACACCCATATATCTTGGTTCATAAGTTTTCAGCATTGATGCGCGAGATTGTATTTTGTCAACTGTATACATGTTTCTAAACTTGACTAATAACTGCCTGGGTTTTTAAAGTTTGGGTCAAATTTACCAAGTCTACGAAATGAAGAAATTTCATTCGGTTTAACACCCAATTTGTTTATGCATTCGCATAAGGCTTTTTCCTCGTGTTCAAAAATTTTAGCCCTCTCTATTTTTTCGTTTTCATTCGAACTTTTGTATTCAGGTATGCCGCTAAAACGTAGTTCAAGACCGTATTCATTACCTGATTTAAGCACATCTGAATACTTAGCCTTTTGATTTTGAGGAGCATTCGATGCATCTGCGATTGACTGCATTACCGACTTGGCTATTTGAAGTGTATCCTTCAGCTCTTCAATACCACGAGTGATGTCCTCGTGACATTTCCCACCGCCCAGTTTTGATCCGGTAGTTGAGCAACCAGTACACATAAATTTCACATTTGCAGATCGTTTCAGGAATTTGTACTCATCCACAGAGTAGCCCATACACTCACTATGAGTCCACCTCTCACATAACTCGCACGATATCCAGTTATCACCGTTTGGCTTGCTACAGATGGTGCACATCTCATGATTCTTTGAGGCCAATCTTGACCTCGTACCAGGCATATTTTATTTGAAAACAAACTATTTAAAGTAAAATCTGTATTTCAGATTTTACTTTTTCTACTACCTGATCGAAAACAGAGAGAGGAGTTGAAGTCAACGATATAATTTAACTGAATTGAGTATATCGATGTTATCCATGAATCTATTTAATAAGTTTATCACAACAATTAGTGGTATTCTTGCGAGATTAGAGCAGAGGAAGAGCAACTGCTTTCTAAGTTGAATTTTTCCTTCTCTGACCGAAACTATAAATAAGCATTATAAGTCTTAGTCATGGATCATGCATGGTTAGTTCTAAGTATTTTACAGTGATAATTAACAAGAATTTATTTGTATATAATAAATACTTGTTTTGAAGTGGTCCCACCCATCCGGGCGGAAGTTTTTAAGTTATGTTTTTTACAGTAAAGTACAGTAAAGGATGGATGGGTGGATGCTGATTTTTTTGAGTAGATTCCTTGAGAATAAAGAGAGTTGGTCCGTTTTGTGAAATAGTTGTTGTCGTAAAATAAGTAGAGATTGACGAGTACTGTAGTGAGTTGAAGAATCGTGTCGATGCTGCAGATTGATATAGTGATGTTTCGTTTTCGTTCCTTACGAGGCCAAACTGTGCACTGGATTATGTGTCTGTATATTCCTGAATTCCAGGGACAAGTCTCTAAACATGTGAAAAGTTAGTCGGAACGATCAAAGGAAAGTAGAGAACAAAAGGAAAACAAAGGGAGCGTCCTTATTGCGGAATCCGCTTACAATGCACAAAATGCACAGTTTGGCCTCGTAATTTTAAGTAGCGCGAGAGTACGTGCAATCTCAAATATTTATCACATAGTGAGATAGTGTTTGACTTTTCTGAGTGAAGCGCCAAGCGATTAGGATCCATAAGTCTGTGTTCAAAACTAATTGGGCCATTGCGCTTGTTCAATGGATACTTTTACTGCGATGTTGGCTCTTTAACCTATTTCTTGTGAGTTTTGTGACTCCGGCAAGCAAAACCAATAAATTTGCCATTCCAGAGCCGGAACGTCGTCGATCTTTTCTAATCGTTTCTTTTGCTCTGGGAAATCTTTTATCTGAAATATTTTTTGTTTTTGAGTTTTCAATATCTTTGATTTCTTTAGTGTTTCACGTGGTCTTTTTTAAACTTTGAATTGAAGTTCAAAGAATTGTTTTATCCAGTTTAATCTGGGTTTATTCTGGCTTAAGTACTGTGAAGTTTTCCTCTACATGTTTTTGGCATGGTGGTGTTAGTAATCTGCGTTGGTTATTCAAGCTTAGCTTTAAATCCTTCTTCCAAACGGGTTAAGGGAAACTCTGAAAGTGAGCCAAAGTTCTTATCTGTTAGTTTGTCAAGCAAGAGGTTCATTTATTCCTAAATTTTGTAATTGAGAGTTATGCTGAATTGTGCGGGGTGAATGCGTGCAACGTGGGCGAGTCAAAAAGCAAATTGAGAAATTTTACAGGATAAAGCACAAAGTAAAATAAATTTTTATTGTAGCTTTTTACTCATTATTAAATCATTGCTTCGTATAAAAAAATTTACCCCAGAATTGTATTAAATTATTGCTGCGCTGAACTTTTTTTGCATTTTATAAACATACAACAAAAAGTTAGTTTTTTGGATTTGAAAGTTTTACAAAGTTTTCATTTTTTGCTTTATTTTTTTTTTGTTTTCAGAACTCACTTGTGGAATCTAAAATGAAGGCGTGAGACACACGTGTAAGATTGATGAATTAAGTAAACGAAACTAATTAGTATGGAATATAAATTCAAATTTACTGTGGGTCGAACTCCTTTGTGAAAGTTAGTTTTAATGGCGTATGAGTGCATTATAAGTTTTGCGAGTATGTGTATGACGGTTTTAGTCCGTAGGAGTAGACAAAGAAGATCTAGTGAGTTGACGTTGACTACTCCAGGAGTGGCGGAAAAACCTTGGCAAATTATAGTTTGTGATTGATTTTGATGTTATGAACGATTTCCTAAAAAGGTATTTTGATAGGTTGGATGTACTCATGCCGAATGATAATAGGGCGGGAATCATCAAGAGGAAATTTGTTCGCGAGGGGAGAAAAGATACACATTTGGCGGATTGGGTCATGATTTCGGAAGTTGCCGTGGAGGTTAGTTGATTTAATACAGTAAGTAAAATTAAGAAAATAGAGAGAAGTGTAATTGAATTATAATAATATGTAGCGATGATGAGGACTTCGGGAAGAGAGCTATTTAAAAAGTGTCGTTGAATAAAGAATCAAAAAAAATGAGTATGAGTAAGCGTTGTTTTAAGCATTACCTCATGCGAGCAGTTGATGTCGCGTTCTTTAGAATTAAGGAAATTAAAGGTGAAATGAAAATGACTAATATGATAAAATATGATTCACATGCTTTATTAATTTTTAATGCGTGATCAATAATGCGGTCAGGCTTTTGGTTAGCGGTATTTACGTTAAACTTATGATCAGTCTATAAAAAAATTTTCGTTGGTTGTGAGTTCATTGCTCAATCTGTGTTGCAGGGCGAGTTTTGCATATAGCATTATTAGACCAAACTAATTTTTTTTATGAATTGCAATCAATTTTCGCGACAAGGATGCTCTTTTTGTTCGTTTTTGTTGTTTCATTCGCTTTTTGTTCCGACAAGTTACTATATTTCTTGAAGCGTTGTCTCTGGAATCCAGGAGCATACAGACAGAAACGTGTGCGCCTTTCTCGTAGTGCGTGATGCAAATCTGATTAGTTTTTTGTGCAATCTAGCGGTTCAGTACAAGTGATAGCACAATTTTGGTACATTAGTCAGCTGGTAACTTATGGTAGTTAAAGTTCTTCGTCTTCGTCGTTTGTTCTCAGTGGTTTTTTCATAGGGTTAGTTCAGTTATAAAAGATACACAGAAGAGTGAAGGTAGGAGGGAGTATTCATCTGCGTAGGTGTTGCGTTGGCTTTGGGCTTCAGTGTTATCATAGGAATATTGGGGGAAAATGATAGGTTTTCAAGTAAAAACTGTGAAGTGTTAGTATTTCCAGGATGGTTACTACGAATGAGTCGTGATTGGGATGGTCTGTTGAATAAGTATAAAGGTGTATTAGAAGGGTACTTTCTCCTCATGTGGATGCGTTGTGCGCAAGCGGAAGCGTTGCGAATGGATGATGCGGCTGTTTGGTCGAGAAGTTGAATGGTTTAATTGATGGATACTAAAGTGTTGGTCAGTATTGTGATTATTTTGTTGGTGTTGGACAAAATCATCGAGAAGAACTGAATGTGGAAAGAACTACGGGAGTGGATAGTTATTAGAACAAAAAGTGGTTGAGATTTGGTAGTTAGTGTGGCCTCATTCAAAGTCTAAAAATTCGTCAGGTTGTCAATGGTGAGATTAAATAGAGAGTTATGAGTAGCAAAAACTGTTTGTACAGAATCATCGAAGTGCATTTGAGGTGAGATAGATGAGAAAGTAGAAAACCGGGGCTAAAAACTAGCAAGGGGAAGAAGTACAGTTGAAACTGAATGACAGAGTGTTGAAGTTGTAGGCCCTGGAGGTTGGAGGGATAAGAGAGAGAACGGCTAAAATATCCTACTTGGCGGCTCTTTTTGGGTTGAAAAAAATATGACCATAAGATCAAAAATTTGTTTTGTGCGGTTGTTCAATTATTTGTTCATCTCTTTCATCAGTTTTTTGTGGCTGATATATTATGTGTGAAATGTAGCTGCATTGTATTTCGTTGCTCCGATGAAATGCTGATGCTAATGAAATAGTAGTCCGATAGTTTTGAGGTGTTATTTGTAAATTATTATTATTTGACAAAATGTGTAGGGGTGATGGCGCTGTGGTTGCCTATTTGCATTGTTTTGTAAAGTATTAAATGTGTTCGGTTTTGTTGATAGTTTCTTAATGTATTCGAAAATTTTTGTGTCTAAAAAAATTTTGTTAAAAAATGTAGAGAAAATTTCAAAAAAAGCTGCGAATACAGTTCTTGCTACGCTGGCTTGTCTGTTGACCTGATTTTGAATTGCACAAGTGTTATTCATTCCTCTAAAAAATGAAAATCGAAATCATATGATAATAAAATTTACTTATAATACAATCAATCTTTCTAGGATTTAATATGGCCATCCTAAAAAAGCTAATAATTTTTGTTTGATGCGCAAAAAACAAAAGATGTTGTTCGGAGAGATATCTTGATAGAGATAGTTTTCTCCGTTGAGATAATAACTTCAATGTCTTTAAAATATCCTCTGTTATCTTATCTTTAGATGCCCGAGAAACCGGTTGTTTCGGCGAGTTTCCTGATGTTTTGTCCATTACTTTTCTGTAATGTGACTGGTATGTAGGAAGTTTCATTGTTTCTGTTTTTATTTGTAAATTGTTTGTGAGTTTTGAGTTTTCCTGTTTTCACATCAAATCCTTTTTCATATTCGACTAGTATAATTCTGAGTAGTGTGTTCTAAAAATTGGTTACCAATATTTGCATGCTAATTCATTTTCAGATTTTTTTCAATACCTCGTATGTTTTTATTGAAAATTTATCAGATTTTTTTCTTGTGGGGTATAAATGTTCAAATGGTATTGTTTCTATAAAAAACTTTTCGTGGAAATTTATCACACATGCTTGGATTTTACCGACATGAAAAGTGGTACATGTGTCTTGAGAAACCAAACAAGGTTGCCTGGGTGCGGGAGGTGGAATCGCAATATTATTGATATTTCTTACAAGGGAGCGAACTCCTTGATATAACAGAGTATTATCTCTTAAATCGCAAGTAAGGTAAACCTTTTCAATTTGATTTTATTTCAACATTATTTATTGGTATCCTGAGTTGTTTGTGCTAGCGTTACAATTGGATGGGTCGTATATTCCTGCGAGGTTTTCAATTTTTATCATGGATATCGTAAGTTTAGTGTCCGCGTAAACCATGATAAGGGAACTTTTCATCTTGTTGTATATGGCTTGATGTTAATCGAGTTGATGTTGATGTTTTCAATAGGGGAAATATTGAAAGTTTACTGAAAGATTTTTGTGGTTTTACAATCTTCTGGAATAGTTGTACAAAATATAAATTTGTTTTGGTAGTAAGATTCATGATCGACTCTGTTTTATTTCCTGTCGAGACTTCTGAACAATGTACTTTCAGCTCAGAAAAATTTGCTGTGAAATTATATTTGTGAGTTGTAGTGCGAG